TTGGAATGGGCCTCAGAGTGTGTGACTTACCCGTCCGCCTGCCTCGAAGTTAACGATCGCCTGCCTTGCAGGGGTTGGGGTGCTGGGACTGGCGCCCAGTGGGCCCCTTCGTGGAGGAGGGGAAGAAGCAATACAGGAGTACTGGCAAGGAAGCGTTTGCGATAGCCAGGCGTCTGCCCTGGCAGGACAGCCCAGAGCGGCAGGGCCAGCCTCACCGCAGCAGCCCTGAAGCCTCTGGTTCGCTGTGGCCTCTGCAGTGCAAGTGTGTTGTCCATTTACAAGAATGGAAGGTATTGGACAAGCAGTTCTTAATGCTGATTTGCTGTTCCCAGCAGGGTTCCAGATGCCTGGGATGTGCACCCCCTGGGATGAGTGTAGCAGCGGCCCCACCCGCTCAAAGCACCCTAGGTTCTAGGGTTACTTCTTGCCTTACCTGTGTCACCGTGGGAGAAGGAGTCTCAGAGATCCTTGATGCCCTCAACTCTTGGGACCCTCTTTCTTGTCTGGGTGATAGTCTTACCTCCTACCTAGACTATCCACGTCCTCACACCTTTTTATGGCTGAATATTTTTCCACCATAGAGATATACCACACTGTTTTATCCCTTCATCAGTTGATGGACATTTTGGTTATCTCCACATTTGGGCTATGATGAGCCACTGTGAATGTTCATACACAAGTTTTTATCTCTCGCTGTACGTGGAATTGTTGGGTCACATGCTTAATATTTTGAGACTGTTTTTCCAAAGCAGCTTCATCACTGGCATCCCTGCCAGCACACTGTGAGGGCTCCAAGTTCCCCACACCTTAGCCAAGCTTCCCTTTTTTAAATGGTACTCACCCTAGTAGGTGTGAAGTGAAATGTCTTTGGTGTGAATTCCGTTTTCTGATGGCCAATGACACTAAGTATCTTTTCCTTTGTTTATCAGTCATTCATATAGCTTTTGTGAAGTGCTTAGTCATCCTTTGTGCATTTTTTACTGGGCTTGTTACTAAATTTTAAGAATTCTTCATATATCCTAGATGTGTTTCTTGTCAGGTAGATTTGCAAATATCCTCTCCTCTCCTGTGAGTTGTCTGGTGTTTTGATGCTATTCTCTGAAGCACAGACAAACCTTTTCAGTTGGGAAGAAGTCCAAACTGTCTTTTGTTGTTTGTGCTCTTGGCATCACATCTAAGAAACTGTTGCCCAGTCCAGATTTATTCCCATTTTTCTCTATAAGTCTTAACAGTTTTAGGCCTTACATTTAGGTGCTTGATACATTTTCATTCGAGTGTATGGTGTTAGGATGGAATCTGTCTTCATTATCTGTGTATGTATATCCAGTTGTCCCGGCATCACCAGTTAAAAAGACATGTGCACACCACCCCCGGTCAAAACTCAGATGCAAGCCAGGCGTGGTGGTGCACCCCTGTAATCCCAGCACTCAGGAGGCTGAGGCAGGAGGATCGTTGCAAGTTCCAGGCCAGCCTGGGCTACAAAGTGAGCTCAAAGCCAGCCTGAACTGCATAGTGAGACCCTGTCTCAAAAAGACTTAAAAAAAAAAAACCTCAGATGAGGGCTGGGGGTGTACCTCAGAGCACTGGCCGAGTGGGAGGCCCTTCGTTCAGTCCCCAGCGCTGAAAACAAGTCAGTTGACCGTAAATGTGAAGTTTGTTTCTGGACTCTGGCTGTGGGCCTGGCCTCTCTCTTCTGTCGGTCTCCGTGTCCGTCCTCAAGCTGCAGCGCTCAGGCTGGAGGCAGCAGTAGTGTGTGTGCGCAGAGCAGGAGCACCGTGAACACACAAAAGCCTACACTGCCTTGTTCCTGTAGCTTGTTGGTAAGTTTTGAAATCAGGAAATGAGTCCCCAAATTTGTTTTGTGTTGTTTCCTTCAAGGCCGTGGCGGCTATTCTGGACACACAGGAGATTCCCAAGCACCCCTGTTGCTGGGCCGCTCGCTCTCCTGTTTCCTAGGTGGCCCGGCCAGTCAGCAGGCGTCAGTGAAAAATCCCTCTCCCTGCCGCCCGGCCTCCCTGCACAGGCCCTGGTGGCGGAGACCGAGGTGCCCTGGCTGAGCTGCCAGCGGCCCTGTGAGCAGATCCAGACCCCGCGATCTCCACCCACCTTCCCTCTTCGCCCTCATCTGTGGCGTTGATGTCTGGCTGCTCACAGCTCTGTCCAGAGGGACCTCAGCCCGTCGTCCCAGCTCCCCCCTTGTGCCTGATCCCAGCCTCTCCTGCCCCCTCCGAAGCACCGAGTTGTGCAGAGACAGGCTGTCCGTCCCGTCGGGTGGGGCCGGTGTGGCAGCCTGGTCTTCCGGGTGGCCTTCTCAGCCACCCGTGCTCTCTGCACCCGTCTAGAGTGCTGCATGAGCCACACGCACTGATTTGCTGGTGGGTGAAGCATTTTTCTTCTCCAAGGGCCTTCAGAACACCAGAAAAGGGGCTGGGCTGTGACTCAATGGTAGAGCTGCTTCCTAGGAAGCATGAGGCCTGGGGTTCGGCCTTCAGTACCACCGCGGAGGGGGGGAAAAAAAGAAAAAACAGTAAAGAACAAAGGAGGGTAAGAAAGTGTGAATTAGAGGGTAGATTTTTCTGGAAGACTCAAAATCAGCTAACCTGCTGCTGCTCCCTCAGTACTAAGGGTTCACAGCTGTGACCTTTTTCAGCACACTGCCCCCAGCTGAGGGGTGTTCTGGGTTTTGCTTCTTAACTCTAAAAGTGGTAAAGCTGATCACACCCTCCTCACCCCTGTGGGGTGCAGGGTAGGCTTCTCCACCGCCTCCCCATGGCGTGTGTGCACAGAGCGAGCGGGACTGCGCGGAGCTGCCTCTGCGCAGACTGCAAACCCGCCCTGCTCCCCCTCGCGGCCCCGGCCCTTCCCTGCGGGGTGGTGGCGCACCTGCGGAGGCAGCGGGAACCGGGCATCGTTTTACCAGTAGGAATGGTGATGGCTGTTCACTGAATGCCCTCGTTGTGCCAGTCTCTACATGAGTGTTCGGGTTAAATCAAGTGGGACAAAGGGGAAAGTTCTGTAATGTCTACAGCCATAAATATGAGCATCTGCTCTATGCTGAGTCCTGTTTTGGTGTTCGTTTGTTTGTTTGTTTGTGGTGTCAGGGACTGAACCCAGGGCTTTTGCACTAAGTTCCATCCCCAGACCTTTTTTTTTTTTTTTTTGAGACAGATTCTCGGTTGCTCCAGCCTACAGTATTCCTGCCTCTGAGGCCAGGGATATAGCTCAGTGGCATAAGCGCCTGCCTGGCAAGCACAAGGTCCTGAGTTCAATTTCCGGTACCAAAAAAAAACAAAAAACAAAATATTCCTGCCTCAGCCTCCCAGAGTAAGTGGACTCTGGGCATGTGGAGTTTGAAGGAGGCCACTACATTCTGTTCCCATATAGATTCTCAACCAGTTAAGAGCTACCAGACAAGCCAGGCAGGGGCGGAAACAAAGGCTGTGTTGTAAGTCAGGGCCTGACTAACACACGGCTCAGAGCTATAGCCAAACGCCCATCACCCTTGCTCCTTCCCTTCTCCTGTTCCCTGGTTTAAATCTATTTCCATGCTCAGCCCCACGAATAGGGACCAGATCCCGCTGGCTGGCCACCAGCCCTGCCTGTCCCACCATAAAACCCGTATCTCCGGAAAACTGATGCAGATTCTCCAAGTCTGTGCTTCATATGCACCATGAAACTTGTTGGTGCTTCTGATTTCTTTATAGCCACGTGGAGTCCCGTGACTGCACCAGTGGGTTGGCCTGTCTAAGCCCAAGGTAGGGTGCGGATACCCAGGGCACAGATGTTGGGTGCCAGGGGTGTACTTCAGGGGAGAAGTCTTACCTAGCAAGGTGCGTGCTGGGCTCAGTTCCCAGCACTGCAAAAACAAAAACAAAAAAGGACAGATGCTAGAAGGGCTGATGACGCACTTGATCAGTGTGACACCCAGCAGGTCACAGCAGGGGCCACTTTAACACCCTGGAAGCCTCGCTTAACCCTAGAGAACTGAGCCCTCTGCTCCAGACTCGGCCGCTCCCTGTGTGTGTGCTGAGCAGGTCCAGCTGGGGGCCCGGCGGTCAGCACACTGAGGTTGGAGATGTGGGTTTGGGGGAGCTGAGGGCTCCACCGAAGGGTGTCATGGAAAGGCAGGCACTGGTGCAGAGTGGGGATTTCAGTCCCAAGTCCCAGGTCTCCTGCAGACAGAGCTGCTGACGGAAGTGTCAACACCCAGCCCTCCCACAAGCTTCACGTGTACGACTGTCTTTGTAGGGCTGTCTTCGGCCAGAGAAGCAAGCAGTGGTTTCCCCGAGGCACCTCACTTCCTCTTTCTACACCCATCCTCCCCTCCCACCGCCCCGCCCTCAAGCAGCCAGGATGTCCAGGGCCTGAGGAAGCCAATTTGTTGAAGACAGGGCAGCAAAGTATGAGCAGGATCCAGCCCACCCTGCTTTTGGAAGGCCATGAGCTACAGCTGATGTTTCCATTTTTCAGTGGTTGAAAAAGATCAGAGGAATGGTATTTTATGACACATTATCCATTTATTGGAACATAGCTACAACCATCTTGTTCACCTATTGTCCGTGGGTGCCATCAGCAGAGTTTAGTAGTTGGGACGGGGACTTGGGGCCCGCACGGTTTGAAGTCAGTACTCTGTGGCCTGTTGAGGAAAAGCATGCTGCCCTGCTCCAAGATGACAGAGATGGAGCGAGTGCGTACCCAGAAGGAAGCCAGTGGATCAGGCCCTGTGGAGGAGGCACTGCATGGGGGTGGGGTGGGGTCCTGATCCTGCCAGTCACCCAGAAGAGGGAAGAACTGTCCAGGCCCACACGTGGGGCCGCTGCGGCTCACAATGGGAAGGCAGTGGTCGGGCTCAGGCCTGTGACTCATTCCAGCAGTGAAGACAGCAGGACACAAGGGGATTCTAGCCTTTGGTGAGCCATCCCACCTGCCCTCCCGCCCGGCTGGTGGCGGGGTTTCCCCCTGAGCAGTGTGTTCATTGCGTGCCCCTCTCCTGTCTGCAGAGTTCGCCTTCTGCCAGGTGGATGCCTCCATCGCGCTGGCCCTAGCCTTGGCTGTCCTGTGTGACTTGCTGCAGCAGTGGGACCAGCTGGACCCTGGCGTGCCCGTCCTGCTGGGATGGCTGCTCGGAGAAGGCGATGACCCTGTGGGCCACGTGGAGAGTGCACATCAGGTAACCCAGGGAGTTAGGGCGCCGGGAGGCACCAGGGTGCTACAGTGCTCACTGGCTGAGCCCGTCTACCGCAAGCGTGCTTCTGGAGAACTGCCCGCTGGGCTCTGTGGGCACAGGGACGCCCTCATGCTCACTTTTGGGGCTTCCAGTGGCAAGCCTTCAGGTCAGTTAGGGAGGGAGCTCTGAAAGAAGCTCCTTGGATATCAGGAGTGTAATTTCAGCACTCGGGAGGCCGAGGCAGGGGGGTCGCCACAAGTTTGAGTCCAGGCAGGGCTTCATAGTGAGTTCAAGCCCAGCCTGAACTGCAAAGCCAGACCCTGTCTCAAAAAACCAAAGACAAAAAAAAAGAGTGTAATTATGAAGAATGCTTATTAGTTGGCCTTGGAGTTACTGTGGGGTTCCCCAGTTAGATCTGAGGATGAAGCATTTCCAGAGATGAGAATCCTTCCAGGGAATTTGCCGCTTGAAGAAATTTTTCATCTCCAGGGGGAGCAGACAGATAGGAAAACTGAGGACTGAGACAAGCAACAAAAGCACCCTGAGAACAGGAATTCATAGCCACCTGTATCGACTGGGCCGGCTGGCGTGGCATTCCCAGCAAGCCCAGAGTTCAAAAAGCAGCCTGTTTACAGGAAATATGGGACAGGGTAAAGAGTTGGTGATAAAATGACCTTGGAAGTCCACAGCAGTGTAGAAATTGGGTCCCATTCTCAGAGGAGTGTCTGGTGTTTGATGGTTCTTTGCTCTTTGGTCCACTGCTGAGATGTCCCTTCCTCCCTCCTCTCTGATTTCTGGCTTTACCGTAAGGTCTGGAGCCCATTTCCTTCTCAAGGTCCCCTTTTCAGCATCAGGCCCCCAAAATACCGTGGCTTAGAGCTACGAGTACATCTTTATTAAAGGTCATGTTAAGTCTGGGGGGAAATTCCTCTTTGATGGAGAAGTACAAGGAGTGAAAATAGAAGGTGACCTTCAAGGCTGCCTGGTGCTGACAGGCGGAAGTGGGCCCTGTGTCAGGCGGTGGGGGAGGGGGGAACACGCCGCCCGCAGCCAGCCAGCCCGGGGCTCCTCAGCATCCCAGAAGGTTGGTTTCAGGCCTTTTCATTTGATGTAGGGAGAAGACGACTACCTGTTTGAAAAAGCAGAAGTCAACTTTTGGGCAGAGACCCTGACCTTCGTGAAACACCTCTACAGGCAACTCCTGCATCTCCTCTGCAGGTCGGGCTGGCGTGCCCCCAGCCCTGAGAGCCTAGGTCACCTGCAGAGGACCGCGGCAGAGCAGCAGCTCCTCCTCTCGCAGCTCTTCAGGGAGCTTCCCCCCACTGCCGAGTTTGTGAAGACCCTGGAGTTCACGAGACTGCGTATTCAAGAGGAAAGGACTTCGGCTGGCTTGAGGCTGCTGGCCTTTCTGGCAGGAAACGAAAAGGAAGGCCCCTGTTCTCAACACCTCGGACCCTCCTGCAGGAGCAAGTCACTTAACTCGCCCAAGAACTGAAGCACCACGTTGAAGAAAGGCTGGGGGGCGGGGGGAGAGCTGGGCTGTTCTGCCACTAACTCTGTAAGGAACGTGTCAAACATAAATTCAGATTTTTTTCTGTTATGCCTCCCCCTCTCCTGTGGGTCTAGTCTCCTGTCACTTCCTACGGAAGAATTTTTCTTCAGTTCTTTCATTCAAGGCAGCCGAGTTTATTGCAGCTACTGTAGGAAGTGAGGCTACCACGCTGAATAGTTACTCTGTCCCCAGGTGCTGGCCACCTGCGAGCCTGAATTAGCCTTTCCGCCCAGCATTTTCTGTGAACTGACTACGCAGAATTGGATTTTAACACACATCCCTCTTTTTTTTTTTTTTAAAGCTATATGGAGAGGCTGGATTAGTTGGCAAACAGCCCATTTGGTCGTACTTTTAAATTTCACTCCATTTTAACAAAGCAGAAATATGTTCCAAATGTTGGATCCTGGGAGAATTAAGTAAGGATCAACCTCATGCAAATAATTTATTTTTATTGTCTGCATCTGTGAGTCCTGCGGTGGCCCGCACATTCCATCCTCATTATTAAAAGCCCCATTGAGAGCTGCTCCTGTCTCCCTCAAAAATACGTGCTAAGCTAAGAGCAGGTCTGCCAGCCAGTGAAGCACATACTCTTGGCTGTGAGAAGGAAGCTGGGGAAGGAGACCCAGCACAAGTGGTCCACCTGAGGCCTACGCTGTTTACCATCATGTGCTCGGTGACAGTAACAGGAAGATTCCCATTTAAGATGCCACTGAATACATTTATCCATTTCAGGGACTTGATCTAGAAACTGACATTTCCAAACCCATCCAGCCTTCTTCCTCAGGTCGCCAGCAGGTGGCACTCTTGCATGTGTTTTGCTGGTCTTGGATTTCACCATTTTTAATGTGTGCTGTACTCTCAGTGTTACCACAGTTACATTGAAATGCTCGCTCGGATATGTTGTAGTCATCCACATTCATTTTTTGATCCTAGTTATCTGCAAAGGGCTTTTCAGTCATAGTAAACTTGTAGAATATATAGATACTTTTAAACACTTCTCTGAGTAGTCACTGGAAAGTTATTTTGTTTGAAGAGCTAAAAACAGGTTAGAGGGGAGAGAGTTTGCTGTGGCCATTTCCTACTGCAGAAAAGCTGAAATTTCAAATAAAAAATTTGTCTCTCTGAGAGAAAGCGACCAAATACTAAAACTGTGGCCATGCTGGACGTATAGAAAAAGGGATCTGCAGGGAAGAGGGGGAAAGAAGTTAGCTCAGTGTCCAGAGTTTCATGCTAAAGAGAGCAGAAAATTCCCTGGGTGATTTCGCAACCTTTCGGCCCCAAATGTGGTTTCTCTGATCCTGAATTAAATACCTAGTGAGGATCTGTGTAGTCCACACCTGATGGAAAGCTGCCAAGCTGACATGTCTGCTCTGTTGTTAGACCTAACTGGGAAGAAGGCAGGACTGGTGTGTGACGTGGTGATAACCAGAGGCCAGCTCTGAACAGGGCCCAGCAAAGCTCAGTCCCATGGAGAAGAGCAGCGTTCCCTTTCTCCTTATTTAAGCAGTTGTGTAATAAACATTTTACACAGCAGATACTCCTCACCAAAGCCTGTACCAGAACATGTTTATACACTTATCTCCAGGATCCTTTTACCAGTCTACAAAGTGAATGTTCTTGCTACTGTGGACGGTACTGCCCGATTTGGAGGGCAGGAGAAAGAGATGTTTGTCTGGTTTGGTATCTGCAATCTTGCTCCTAACCTAATAGCACTGGCTGGGGAAACAGCTGCTTCACACTTTCCTGATGCATTCTTCAGAGAAACCTCGAAGACCATCCTCTCAGGGCCTCCGACTCTCGTGTTTGGGGTCGTTTCAACGAATAAAACAGTGTTAGCCACAGCTGCCCAGCCCTGTAGGGGGGCGGGGAGTGAAGCAGTCATTCTTCCTGAGGGTCTCTAGCTAGTCCTGGCATCAAGCTCTAGCGTGCAAGATTTGGGTGGCCCCTGACTCTGTAATGGGCCTGGGGACCTCCATCCATCTGGACATAGCCCAGAAGCCTGGCTTTCTCCATTAGAATTCGTTAAGTTGTTACAATGCATCTCGTGGTTTGTACTTAATTAAATACCTCCCTGGGTGTCTCATTTGTGCCTTGATAAAGGTGTGTGATGTGTAAAGCAAGAATGTTACCTTCTCTATTTTTTGCAAGTAAGGAAACGCAGGTACCAAAGAGATTGTGTATGTGAGTTGCTCCAGATCACATGACTTGTCAGGGGCAGGGCCTGAACTCCAGCCCCACACCGCTGACCCTGATATCCTCCCAGCCCTGACCTGGGCATTAGCGGAACACAGCAGTGGGACGTGCACTCCGGCCTCCAACGTTCTCACGGCCGCACCTCCCTCCTGGCCTTCCAGGTTGAGGGACTGAGCTCCAGCGGGCCGGGTGCAAGCACACAGCAAGATCCGTGTGAGAAGGCGGTGTGGGTCAAGCTTCCTTCCCCGGCAGGTCCTGGACTTTCCCGCTTAGGCGGCCTGCGCTGCCAGCTGGGTGAAATCATAGGCTGGTTTCCAGCCTTTTGGCAGCCAGTACTGCCGAGTGGGGCTGTCCGCGGCTTTAGCCTTACTGGGCGCTAGGTGGGGGTGTCTGCCCCGTCCCCAGACGCAAGCAGTGCACAAGTTAGCAAAGCGCATATCCCAGGGCAAGCAGTTGTGGAGTGTGGGGCCGACAGGCAACAGAAGGGGTTCCCCCCGACACACACTGGTCTGCCTCAGCGGGATCTGCAGCCAGCACTAGAGAAGGCGGGGCGCAGTTCCCCCCACCGCCAGGGGCCTGGAGAGTGCCACAGGGTAGGGCTGCGCTAGGCCGGCAGCTGCACCCCAATCCCCAGAGGACTGGAGAAGCGCGGCCGACCAGCACACGTACAGGGTGGAGGAAGTCGCGCCCATGCCTGCGCGGCTCTCCCCGCTTCCCTCCCGTTCACCCAGTCGGCTCCCCCGCCCCGGACGCCCCGCGCCACTCCGCGCCTTTGGCCCGGGCTCAAGGTCTTGTGATGTGATTAGCAAAGCCAGCGCCTTGTCCTCAGACACTCAGCCCTGCCCGGCAGGCGCGGGCGCGGGAGCCCTGTTTACCGAGCCTGGGCGGGGAGCGGGGCGGAGACACGGCCCG